TGCTGTATCAGATGCCAACACTAATCCTGAAGATTTTGTCTGTGACTTGTCTGTTTTCTCAGAATTTGAACATTCATGGGCTTTAATAGGCCTGCCTGGTGGTTTGTCCTCAGCACTTTCTCTGTCATTAAGATGTGGTCACCATAGCTTACAGCTCTTGGTGTGCTCACCTGAGCTGCTGTCAGTGGTATGTGCAGTGTCCCCTTCCTTAGTGCCATCAGAAGAGAAAAGGCAGAGGCTAATGGTAAGAATATTTTTTCATGTGATGAAAGGGATCTGCAAATTGATAAAGAGCAATTTCATGTGGTTTATCCAAAATGTAATCCAGGATTAAAAAATCACCAGAGGTGTGGGTGTGTGGTGGTCAAATAAAACACTGTGGACTATAGGGTCCCTGGGAGAGGTCATTGGTCAAGTGGAAAGGAAAGGAGATGTGAACAGTGGGAGATCAGTGGTCTGAAGAAAAAGAAGCAGAAAGACCAGCTACTGCTATGGGAGGTGGCCTGCCTGGCAGAGGATATCGTAGCAGTTACTTTTGGGGGGTGGATTGCTTATAGGATGTACATATTATGGAGATAGCGAGAAATCTACCAGAGTGAGAGTTAAATGAATGAAATTGAGGAGAAGTGCTGAGATGTGAATTCAGTTTTTATTGGGATTCACTCCCATTGTCAAAGTAGAGCAGGTCAAGAAGGAAGGTAGACATTGCTCCTGAGGAAACACAGTTAATGTAGACCATATATGTTGAAGGCTTTGGCAGGTACTGGGGGGTATGTAGTCACACAAACAAGAGAGTTCACTGACTGGTAGATGAGAATATTATGGTCTTCAGGACAGTTTCATAGCAGAAATAGAGGGAAAGAGGTGTGATAGGGATGTCAGGGGCCTGTGCTCTCGGGGGTTGTAACTGCTACAAAGGCCCTGTGCTGAGAATGGCCACAGTCTCCTCCTAGAGCATTTGTATTGAGAGGTGGGCTGGCTAGGAGGGGCATTTGGTGGATGAAATATCACTGTTCCACAGTTTAACCTCAAGACATTGAGCTTCTAAAGAAAACCATTGAATTGTGGTAGGGAATGCAGTTGGTCTGATTGGATTTTCATCAGGCAATCTGTGAAATGGAATTCAGCTTCCCCTGCAGCTTCCTGAGGGAGAGAGTACTTCTAGCACAACTGTGACAATGACATTAGCTCATATAACTGAAATCAGTTGATGTCTGCTTTCATGCATTGATCCGTGGTCAGTCATGCTAGGGTGTCAGCGTGTTTCCACATCTGACATAACTGCTTCCCTGAGTGTTTGGGTCCTTGCACCAAGAAAATAAGGCTGAGGACTCCAGTGCTGCCAGCACTCTTGGGGCTCAGGTTGGCACCAAGTAGCTGATCTGTGTCACCTTTATTATGTGATCACGGATCACTTTCAGGGGACATGGAGTCAATTAGAACCAAGATGACATGAGTCCACTTGCATGTCTGACAGAGGAGTGTCTCTGTTGGGTTTGCAGAAAGTGGGGCTCTTGGCTCTGAGCTCTGCTAGGCTTCTGAACAGCCTCCAGCCACTGGTCATAGCACTGCTAAACCTAGTTATCTTCTCCTCTTTCCACTGCCCACTTTCCTGTTTCCATCCTGGAGATGGACTGTTCTGTTCCCAGTGCACAGCACATCTGTTCAATGTGCATGAGAATCCGTCTATTGTTGGAGGAAATCGTCTCTCACCTGCTCTCCCAGCCCCACTTACCTGGATGCTGTCTGCTGTTGGGCACTGTCACAGAATTCCTATTTCAGCTGGTTCCCTTCTGGACCTGGGTGATTGGAAATTCACAGCTGGGCTGAGAAGGGAACGGCCTTTTCTCCTGGAGCAGAACATTAAGGGTGAGACATGTGGCTGTCTCTGGTCAAGCATGGATGACTGGGAACTAACAAATAGATCCCTTTCCTGGAGACTGGGGCAGCCATGAGGACTGCTGCCTAGTTGTGGCCCCTGGGGTTAGTTCCCCAGAGGTCTCTTTAGGAACTCATTCTGTTTGTTTGTGTTCTGTCTTAATGTAGAAAACAGCAATGTGAGAATCTTACTTCGGATCTAAATAGTTGTTCCACAATCTTGCAGCTGTTTATTAATATAAGCATCTAAAATGATAAGTTTTCCTCCAGACATTATACAGATTTGGGTATCATTTATTTTTGTTATCACTTAATTAAAATATTTACTCATTTGCCTCATTGTTTGATGTATGTTAAATTGTAATATTTGGAAAAATTGTCTAGTTATGTTATTTTCTCTGGCTTTAATTAGCATGTATGAATGTCATGAAGTAATGTGTTTTATTGGGTCATTTTCCTGCGTGCATACAAAAACTTTCATCGTACTCACCCCTCTATTACTGCCTCTTATCCCCTCTCCTACACCTTATCCCCTTTCACATCTCTAACATGCCCTATTACTTTCATGCTCTTTTTCCTTAAATTCCACGAGAGAAAACATTCAATGACTTGTCTTTCTTGTTTCTCTTAACATGATGAAATCTCATTGTCTTGGAAATAATATCATTTCATTCCTTTTGGCCAAATAAACCTCCATTGTGTCGATTCACCACATTTTTACAGCGCTCATCCACTGACAGGCACCTATGGGTTCTGTCACTTGGCAGTTGTGCAGTGCTGGGTTGACATGGCTGTGCTGATGTCTCTATGAAAGCTCACTTTGTTCTGTGGTATCTTCTCCCAAGGACTGAGGCAGGGGCATCACCCTGAGTCCAAAGTTAGCCTGGCCTAAATAATGAGACACCGCCTCAAAATATCAAAAAATGTAAACTTCAACTACTCCCCCCAATAAGTTTATAAAGGAAGAACTAGGTTACTTACTGGGTAAGGTAGGAGTTTAATACTTTTTAAATGCATACATATTAAAAACTAAATAATAAAAGCAGGGGGTGGGAAAGGAAAATAGAAGCAAGATATAAAAGAGGTGAAAAGTATATGGTGGGAAGGCATTCAATTAGTAGGAACAGAGAACACAGTAAGATATGTGCAGAGAAAGATAAAATAGTAAAGATCATAGAAACACATTTTTGATAATAGCTGCAAAAAAAAAATAAAAAAGAAACAAAAATCCATAGTTCTTCCTTATTGGGGAGGTTGGTACAAGATTTCCCTGCTCCTTGGAACAGTTGTTTTTTTCTTTGAAGGTCAAACAGGCTAGGCCAGTGGGGGTTGTCTAGTTTGGGGATTTAAGTCAATGGCAGACCGCTCATCCAGCAACTGCACAGTCCGGAGCCAGATCTCCTACCCAGCAGGTGCACAGAAAATGCTACTTGCAAGCTGGGCGAACAGCAAGCAGCTGCTCCCCTCCTGACTCCCGGCAACCTGTGGCTCCCAACCTCCCAGTTCTCTCCAGGCTAGTTCCTCACTCGTGTTGACTCCAGGCTCGCTCCCCACTTGATTGATGGAAATTACCGAGTCAGTCATGCTCCTGCTGACTCCTACTGTGCTCTCCACTTGACTGTCATGATTGCCACTGGGGCTTGTCACCACTCTGCCTTGACTCACGCCAGATTGCATCCAGATCCCAACGAGGCAGCACCTTGGCAGTGCTCACTGTCCATGCTCACTCCCCAGGCAGCAGCCCTGGCTTTGGCTTGCGGGATTCCCATGTCACTCAGGTTGTGCCGACTCCCAGTCTGTTCCCCACTGCACTCCTGGCGGGTCCCATGCACCTGAGGCAGTCCCGTACTGGCACTTTCTCAGCATGGCACCTCTGTCTTGGAGTTTGTGGTCTCTACCCACATGGTTTTGTGTCTGAATTTCAGTCCCAGTCTCAACTAGTTTTATGGATCCACACACATTCTCCCAAGTGATTTTTTGTTTAGTTACTGGGGGAGGGGAAGCTTTTGGGGATTGGAGATAGAAAACTACAGATTCTTCTGCTCTTCCCTGGAATGTTCTTAAGGCCTCTCTTTAGCACTCTATTTGAGGGTCCTTTCTACTTTTAGAAATCTAAAGTTCAGTGTTCCCAGACTTCTGTTCTATCCCTATCTGCTGTTTACTACTGCCTTCCTGTGCCTTTCATACCACGGCCTTTCCAAGGAAATGCAGGGCCATGGAGGGCGTCTTTACTCCACCTCCTGGCCCTCTTCCTATAGCAATTCTTGTAGGGCAGATATGCTTGTAATGAATTCCTTCAGGCTTTGATTATCTCAAAATGGCTGTTTTTTCATTTATTATTAAAAGATGATGATGGAAGCACACTTGGTCATTACATAAAAATAAGTAGCATTTCTATATACAAACAATGAACAGGCTGAGAAAGAAATGAGGAAAACAATACCATTCACAAGAGCTTCAGAGGTATTTTTGTTTCATTTATTTATTTGGAAACAAGGTCTCAGTGTGTAATCCAAGCTGGCCATAAACTGTCAAGCCTCCTGTCAGTTTCCCGTGTGCTGGATTTACAATGGTGCCCTATCATGCATGGCTATAAAGTACAATTTTAAGCCGGGTGCTGCTGGCTTATGCTGGCAATCCTGAGAACTGAAATGGGGAGGGGAGAGGTGGTTTGAGGCCTCCCCAGGTTAATACTTAAGGAGACCTCCGCCATCTCCAAACTAACCAGAACAAAATGGACTGGACATGTGCCTCAAGCAGTAGAGTACCTGCTTTGCTAGTGTGAAGCTCTGAGTTCAAATCTTCATCCTGATAGATGACTGATACGTAGGTAGATAGATAGATAGATAGATAGATAGATAGATAGATAGATAGATAGATGGATAGATACTGTTAAGTAAATTTTTATAGAGAAACCCTAAGGCAAAAGTTCCTGGGACTGAGGAAAGTCCTATGTGTTAGATCCCAGTAGTGTGGCTAGTGGGCAGGTGGTGAACAATTCTATATAGATGGGAGTTAAAGCAGAAACAAAATTTTTTATTCAAGAGAGAAAGGACCAGACACCATTGGCTTCATGAGGTAATTTGAGTGAGTCTTAAATGTTTTTGTAAGGAGGCGTTGTAGAAACAGGTGGGAGAGTGGGCCAGGCAGTTGTTTGTCCCTTTCACAGATGGTGAGGTTACATCCCTGATTAGATCAGCACATTGGCCGGGTTTGGCTTGGTCCAGAGATATGTCTTCAAAGTTTTTGAGTACTGTCGTTTCTCAGACTAGAACAGAAAAGAGTTTGAAAAGGATAAGCAAGGTTTGGTGGGAATCTACACAGAATCGGGTCTAGATGCAAAAGGGAGTTATTTAGACTCATTTTTGGGCTTTACAGTTCCCTCCATCAGACATGGAAGAGATGATTCTTTGGAAGATGACAAGGGGCAATCCCCGCCCCCACCCACTCTAGGGTTGTTGAGGATGCGAGGTCCATCTTCTATACATGCTTCATGCTGAGAAGGTGTACAGACTTGTCCCTGAGGAGTCAAGGGGTCATTTTGGACTGGGCGCTTGTGGTTCACACCTGTAATCCTGGCTACTCAGGAGGCAGAGATCAGGAGGACCACAGTTTGAAGCCAGCCCAAGCAAATAGTTCTTGAGACCCTATCTTGAAAAAATCCATGACAGAAACAGCTGTGGAGTGGCTCAAGGTGTACATCCTGAGTTCAAGCCCCAGTATGAAAAAAGGGGAATCACTTTGGGGTATGGGTTGAAAATGAATAGCCCGGTTGGGCATTTGAGTCTTGGGGTTGTGCAAGTTTTTCATGATTAAGGTTTTGTGGTGCTGAAGAAAAGATATCAGAGCAGAGAAGGCATGGGCCAAAAATGAGCAAAGAAAGGATGGCAGCCAGAGGGCCAAGAAAAGTGGTGAGCATTTATACGTAGACCAGACATTGAGCTTCCAGGAAAAGCAGTCCATACCCCAATTTTTAATTTTTATTGGTCATTCCAAACAGGTGTAATTACTTGGTTAATAGTAATAGGAATTATTCCTGATTCATTTATGTAGAAACAGCATTTCCTGGTTACATGGAAATTGTGAACATGAGTTGAGGGTTTCTCCCCCTTCTCTCTCACCAGGACATCTTCCTTATCCCTTTCCTCTCCAGTGACAAAAGGATACAGAAGAAAGAAGCAAGAAGAAAATCATGTTGTGAAAACTCTAAATTTGGTGAGTGGGGCATTACTGGGGTTTGAACTCATGAGGAATGTTGCCATTACTCACTGAATTTCCTGATTAGTAAAAACTCATCAATCTCACGTGATTTGTAACCCAGTTCACACATGGCTGCCAGGATTGCAGGGTTCAAGTGTTTAGGCAGTGTGTCAGTAGGACTCAGTGACCTTTCCTCACCTTGGCTGAGGCACAGGCTCCCCATGATGTTCTCCAGGGCAGTCTTCTCGCTAGGCTTGAGGGTGAGTAATTGAATGATGATGCCTTGCAGTTCCACAGAGAGGTAAGATGGTATGCCATACCTTGGGTGCAGGACCTGCTGCTGCAGCTGCAAAAATGTCTTCCCTTTAAATGGGAAGGCAGCTGTGACCATGTAGTCCAGGGGGACACTCAGGCCATTGTATTTGTGGTACAGGAAGAGTTTGGTGGCATGGACTGAAAAAACAGCACACAATTCTATCAGAATCTGAAGCTAAAGCCAAAGTCACTCATCTTGATGTATCCTTGGGCATGCAGCAGGATGTTAGATTTCACGTGTGTGTGTATCATGCCTTTTTTGTGGCAGTATTTGATGGCACACACAATCTGATTGTATACTCCATGGGCCTCGTTCTCATGCAGGCAGTTGTCTGTCGGATATACTGCAGGAGCTCTGCCCTACTACTGTGTTCCATGATATGTAGACCTGGTCCACTGTTTCCATCACTGGAACCGTTTAGTCATGCTCGGGTGGTACAGAGTCTGTTGATGATCACGTTTGGGTGCTGCAGACTGCTGAGAATGAAAGGGGCTTCCTTGATAATGGTGAAACAAGAGGCATAAACTGCCCTCTCAGCTCTCCTGAGAACTGATAAAAAGCATTTTCATGGCCTGGGGACATGGCTCAAGTGGCAGAATGCCTGCTAGTCTAGCTTAAAACCCTGTGTTCCCTAGAACTGCAAGAAAGAAAACAGTATTTCACTTCTCATAACTGCTTCAGATGTGGGCAGGCCTCTTTGTTTCTATATGGATTGAGCCTGACATGTTGCAGCCATCTTGAGTGGTAACCTCCATGATGGCTCTAAAGAAAAACCTGTCAGATTTTCCTCCACAGTTTTCCCAGCAGATAAATCCATTAGAGCAGTGTGTGGAGCTTTTGAACTAGACCTTGGTGCCTGGATGTGCCTGACTCTTTGATACTAGCTTAGAATTCTTCAGATACACTCTGGCTTGGATAAACTCACTTTCTCCTAACATTTCTCATCTGACCTAACCGTGGGATCCACTTTGTCTTCCTGCTGCCCCAAATCACACTCCCATCACTAAGTCCCCAAGAAATGTACTCTGTCCATTCTGTATGTGTCTGTTTCTCTTTCCTCAGTCTCAATGATGCCTTTGGGCTGGTTCTCATGCACTGGGGCTGAACCGTTTAGTTTCATTTAAACATATTTATTATGACTATTTTTCTTTTATAAATATTAAACGTACATGTATGGATGCATATGTAAATTACAGAACATGATGACATGAGCCTTTATACACCTACATGCAGCATAAGAAGTAGAGGGCAGGACTAGGGATGTAGCTCAGTGGTAGAGCCCTTGACGAGCTTGCATGAAGTCCTGGGTCAATCCCCAGTGTAAGGGGTCTCTAGGAGTTGGGTCCCTGAAGGAAATTCCATGCTGGGAGTGAAAACAACCACAAGAACCCTGGCACCAGAAGAAAGACTGCCTCCCAGTTCTGGTAACTGGGACCTACAGCTAAGTCAGCACATGTGTACTTCCTGAACTTTGTTTCATCTTTTCTGAAAGTGTAACACTTTTCTCTAAGTTGTGACCTTTTTTTCTTTTTTTGTAAACTGTGACCTTTTATGTAAGGTTGTGTCCTTGTTATGGGCAAGGCAGACATGGATTAAGAAGTTCTCAGTCTCCAGTTTTGACCTGATCTGTAAATAAATCCATTTTCTGCTCTTATACATATTATGTTGTTCTCTCTTAATGTAGGTGGGTGTTCCAACCCAGAGCCAGGCCCTATTGCTGGGGGAAGAGGGAGCTCTGGTTACAGAATTTGGCAAACCTTGTAGGGATGGAATTGAGGCAGGAAATTTAGCAAAGTACCCAAACCAGGTCATGGGGACATGAAGCCTCCCTGGAGCTAGCCTTATGGGGCAACAGGTGATCTATCTCTACCCAGAATGACTCCAAAATGCCCCTTTTGAAAAAGCATTTTCATCTGGACCACCTGAACCCCTAATTAGAGCCCATGTAATTCACATGTATGGTCAATCAACAAAAGCCACTCCTAAGTACCACTCAAATCTCTTCCCTTTTCTACCCCTGCAGTGTATAAAACCCATCCCAACCAAGGGGTGCTACAGGTGCTGCTGGTAACCCCTGTCACTCACAGCCTGATACTCCCCCCTTTCTTGGGGAGTGTACACTCTTGCTCTCAATAAAACACTGTTACTGTTTTGCTATCTGTATGTCACCATCTAATTCTTTGCTTGGATGCCAAGTACCTGAGCTCTTCTCTACCAGGGTCTTCTGACCCCACCCACCATTTTTGGTGAATCAGCCAGGAGGTAAGCCCCCTACACAAAATCCCACCTCTGTTCCCCACTTTACTGAGCCAGTGTACTTTCATTTCCACTTTCCTTATTTATCTTGGTCACCTGGCACATGTCTGTCACTATATACCACCAAGCACACCTGATGCAGGCTGGACACCCAAAGCAGAGGCCTCTATCCAGGGGTCAGACTAATGGACATTGGGCACGGCCATTGGTGGAGCCAAAAAAATCAGCAAGTTGATGCCCATCCACTGCCAAAGACGTCTGGCCATGTTTTAGGGGAAAGTTGGGGTCATTCTCATTCCCCTCTACCATCTCAGGACCACAGAGGGTGCCCTAAAGGCTCATGGAGTCCCAGCCTCCTTACCTCCTAAGGGTTGTGTTTCTTCTCTCTCTTCTCTTTTATTCTTTCTTCAGATCAAAATGGGGAGAAGTACATGTATCCCAACAGATTCTCCACTTGGCTGTATCCTTAAACATCAGGATCATTTCGATCCTGGTAATCTGAAAAAGAAACACATTGTCTCCTACTGGAATGTAGCCTGGCCCAATACCAACTGGGGAGTCAAGTAAAGTGGCCCAAGAATGGGAGCTGAAGTTATAATCCCATTTTACACTTAGATTTGTTTTGTAAGAGAAAAGGCATATGGTGATAAGTATCGTATGCCAAAGCTTTTATGGCCTTGTGTCAAGACCCTTCCCTTTGTAGGTCGACCTCCAGCCCCCAAAGGAGGAAACCAAATAATGAGGATGTGGACATCCTTGATCCCCTGCTACAGGGAGCGACGCCTGGCTCCCGGGGACACCTCTCTCCTTACTATAATCCTCCCTGTGCACCCCAACCTCTGATGAGCCCCCCACACTCCTGAGACCCCCCTATATACTCGAAGTGAAACACTTTCCTTGGAGGCTTCCCAAGCCTTGTTCCCGCTGGGAGAGATGGAGGGGCTGGAGGGGCCGGTTTGGGTATAAGTGCCTTTTTCTGTAGCTGATATCCAACAGTGCAAAGAAAAATGTAGGAGATATTCTGAGGACCCAGATAAATTTGCAGAAGGGTTTCACACCCTATCCTTGTCTTTCCATCTGTCCTGGAGAAATATCAGTTCCTTTTGGCCAGTTGTTGTTGCACCCTCACAGAAAAAGAAAGAATACTTATTGCTGATTGTAGGGAGACAGATGTGACCCTTGGGATTGTCAGCCATGGACTGATACTGTCCCTGAAAATGAGCCTAACTGTGACTACCAACACTCTGGGGATGGGGGGCAGAGGTGAAAGAAAGCTAACATGGTGCAGGCAACCCTCAGGGGGCATAAAATCAGGAATGCTAAATCCATTAATTATGATGAGGTTAGAGGAATTACTCAGGTAGAAGTCCTGTATCATCTTAGGACAGGCTGCAAGGAAGCCTTTAGAAAATATACTAGTGTCAATCCCTGCTCTAGAGAGGGGCCACTCCTCCTAGGCCACCATTTTACTACTCAGTCCACCTAGACTTCAGGTGGAAGCTTCAGAAGGTACAACTTGAACCTCAGACTAATAAAATCCATTTTCTGGACACTGCTTTTCTGATCTACAATAACCGTAACCTGGAAAAGAAAAAGAAAAGACAGAGTAAGAAAAGGAAGCAGGACAAAGTTATGGCTGCCATGTCTCATGATTGGGAATGCCCTCCCTTGCAAGGAACCCTAATGTGAGAGAGGAGGCAATCCCAAAGTCAACCTATTACTAATGCAAGAATCCTCGGCATTTTGCCATGGATTGCCTGGTGCTCTGAAAGAAGAGTTTTGGCACTGGAGGGCTGACTATCCCCACTCCCAGAGAAGGACCCAGGCAGTTAAGACTCTGGCTGCAATGGCACAAGCAGAGCAGAACTGAGGGTGCCAGAAGTGCCCTCAGCAGCCCCCGCCTAAGATCAGCACATGGGTAAGTAAATTTACTTTCTATTGTATATGGGGCAACTTACTCTGTTCTTCCTACCTGTGTGGGAACGCCTTCCTCCCTGATGATGTAGTGAACTTTGATGGGAAAAAATAGGGTTAGAAATTCCACCCACCTCTTGCCTTGTTATTTGAGATCCAAGTCTTCACGTACAGATTTCTTGGAATTTTTTTTCTGCAGTACTTGGGTTTGAACTCAGGGCCTCATACTTTCTAGGTAGGTGCTCTACCACTTGAGACACTCCACCAGCATGCATAGATTTCTTAGAGTCCCTGGATGTCATGGTTTACTCTTGGAACAGGATATAATAGGAAAACTGAGCATGGTGCTGCTAATGGGACTAGAGAAACAGATGATGTCTGTAGAACCCATAAAAGGGGCCTCACTGAAGCCCTGTTCCTAAGAATTCCCAATTTGGAAAAACCTTGTATGGTATTCTGCCATCAAAAGGAGAAATGCTGTAGGGTACTAACTCAGAACATAGGGATGGAATCTTGTCCAGTTGGCTATCATTCTTTTTTTATTCATTTTTCCATATGTGCAAACATTGTTTGGGTCATGTCCTCCAGCCCCAACCCCCTCCCTGTCCCTCATTCTAAGAGGTTGGAAGGGGTGGCCCTGGGTTTGCCAGGATGTCTGAGCGCAATATTTTGCCATTACCTTCCTACTACAGGAGGCCACTACTCTGGGTCAGTAGCTAGAAGTTCTTACCTTACCACTCATCAGGTAAGGGCCATCTTGGAACTAAAAAGTCACTTGGGGATGTCCAGGGAGAGATTAACTAAATACCAAGCCAACCTTCTAGAGTTCCCAGAAGCGAAGATAAACATCCTAAATCCTGCATCTTTGCTGCCCTGTGAGCTAATGATTGAGCATACTTGTAAGCATGTGATCATACAAACTTATGCACAGAAACCAGACCTATCAGATAAGCCACTCCTTGAAACCGAGGATGAATGGTTTACTGATGGAATTAGTTTTCTGCTAAATGAGGAGAGAAAGGCAGGGATGCAGTGGGGAGCCAAGAGAAATCACTGAACCTCAGCCCTTGCCAGCTGACTGGTTCTTCAGCCCAGAAAGTAAAACTGATAGTCTTCACTACAGCCTTAACTGTGGGGAAAGAAAAACAGACTTAACATCTATACTGCTTCAAAATATGCCTTCCTGAATGTTCCTCAATATATTAAAGGCTATATATGACAAACCTATACCACCATTATACTAAATGGAGAACAACTGAAACCATTCTTGCTGAAGTCAGAACGAGATAGGATGCCCTCTTTCCCCACTCTTACTCAATAGTTTTGGAATTCTGATTATATAGGCATAGGCAACAACTTCCTAAAGAGAATTCTAATGGCTTAGCAATTGAGAGAAAAATGAATGAATTGAAAAGCTTCTGCAGTGCAAAAGAAACAGTCACTAGACTCAAGAAATCCGGGAAATAATCCCATTTGCAATAACCTGAAAAACTCTAATAAAGTACCTTGGAATCAGTTAAACGAAGGAAACCAAAGACCTTGTCAATGGAAACTATAAACCACTGAAGAGAGAAATCGAAGAAGACATCAGAAGATGGAAAGCTCTCCCATGCTCGTGGATTGGCAGAATCAACCTTGTGAAAATGGCTATACTCCAAAAGCAATCTACATGTTCAATGCAATCCCTATCAAAATTCCAATGACATTCTTCAGAGTAGAAAAATCGATCCTAAAATTCATATGGAATTGTTGATTCCATTGTTAATGCCCTTGCTGTTTGTACTAAAATGGAAAAAATGAATGTTTTCCAATCTCTAGACCAAGTTTGTTTCCCTGGTAAACTCCTGCTGTTTGTGTAACCTGAGTCTCATTCTTTTGTTTCCTTGTCCCTTGTGAACGCTACTGAGTTTGAGGCCTCTTGTGAGTTTTCAAGGGTTCTTTAGTATTTATATGATTTTAGGAGTCAATATTGGGGTTTGAATTAGGGCCATGCACTTGCCAGCCAAGGACCCTAGCACTTGAGCCATGCCCCCAGCACTATTTGCTGTAGTTATTTTTGAATAGTCTTGCATTAGTGTGGGCAGTACTGGGGTTTGAACTCAGTGCTTTGGGCTTGTTAAGCAGGTGCTCTCCTGCTTGAGCCTCAACTCCAGGGGTCTTGCATTTTTGCCCATGCTGTCCCCTGGGTCCTCCTATTTATGCTACCTTCTTAGTTGGGATGAGAAGCACAAGCCTTGTGTCCACCATTTTTTTTTTTGCATACAGAAATAATTTAATGCCTTTAAGAAGAACTAAACGGGAGCTTTGGTAATAGTCCATATTCCATAAGGGCGTCTACTGCGCCAACCCACAGAACAAGTGCTTCTCTCTTGTCCTATGCATCTATGCACTAGTTTTTGTGGATTTCTGGCTGGATGTCACACACAAAGGCCAAGAGGTGACCCATGACTTTATCCTTATTTTGCCAGAAGTAGTTCTGGAAGATGGTCATCTTCTCCTGGGTTGCCATCTCCACCTTAGTGCTGCAACTGTCAGAGGATCCCAGGGCCACAACTTCCCTGGCCTTGCCTCTTTCTCCTCCTGCAGGCAGCACCGGTCAGTTTCAGCCTGTCTTCTTTAGCCTGCTTCAGCCTCTGGCTCTTTCACTTGTGGCCCTCGCACACCTTCTCAGCTGCCCACTTCTCAGCCTGCAGCAGCTGCTGGATCCCTTCCCACTGACTGGACGTGGCTCCAGAGACCCGGGGCAGGTAAAGAGGTCTGAGGGCAGTGCAGTGGCCACTCAGGTCAGCTGCCATGCCCAGCATTTCATTGGTTTAAATGGGATCTCACTGACTTTTGCCTAGGCTGTCCTCAAACTGCAAAACCTCTCTATATCCACCTCCTGAGTAGGCTTAGGATTACAGGTGTGGCCACTGTGGCCAGTACTGGGTTTACAAAAATATAATGCTAGATTCGAAAGATGGCAGCTAGAGTAGGAAGCAGAAAGCGACCCTCATAGTGAAATCTTGGAGAGACGTGGAGACACACTTTGCAGGCATATCACCTGAGAAAAGGCATAACTTTGACCCCTATACATCTCATCGCGGCAGAGAATCTTCCACTTCACCTTAAAAGGAGATACAGAGGAGGGCCCCGGGCCGCCCAGTGGCCGGCGCCCATAAGGCCCGGGAGACCGCGGACCAGGTGAGCTTCGCGGTACCGCGTAACCCACAAGACAAGCCTGGGCCAGAGCAGTATAGCCCCTGGACAGACTGACCTCCACCCGGGAAAAAAAGAGAAACTGAGTACTAAGCAATAAAACAGTTAAGACGCTGGAAAGAGGGTGGGGCGCCTGAGCGCTGAAGATTGGGGGAAGGGAATCCTTCCCCGGGACTGTAAATAACAAGCCGGGCGGGCCGGAGAGGCTCTGGCGGGAGCGGGGCGCGCCCAGCAACCAGGAGCGGGGACGCTTGTGAGAGGAGGGAAGACCCACTTCCCACGTGAACTGTAATAAACACGCAGGCCTGACAACGCGGGGCAGTGTCACCTTTCCCAGTGCTTGGAAAGGGGAAAGCCTGTAGCAGAGGCCCGCACAGGAGAACTCTGAGCAAACAAAGCCTGTGGGACCAGGTGAGTGCTAGCTCACCCGAGATCTGCATAAATAACGCCAGCTACAGGCTGAGAGCAGCAGGCAGGCAAGCCACAGTTGCAGATACCACTCTCAGAACTGCCTCCAGACGCTTTTTTTTCTTTTTCTCCCTACCTTTGATGAGAGAAAACCGAATACACCTGCAAGCCGAAAAACTTACTGAAACTGTATTGCATTTGAACTGGGGACACTTGGGTGCTTTTTTTTTTTTCTTCTGTGTGTGTGTGAGTGTAGTTTTGTTCTACTTTATGCATCCCCTTTGATGAGACAACTACAGAACAACATCTGAGGCACCAACTCCAGGACTGGAGATTGAGACGGACATCCAAATTATTAAGACTGAAATTGCATTGCATATAAACTTGGAAGTTTTTTGGTTTTTTTTTTTTTTAATTTTCTATTTTCCATTTTATTTTAATTCATTTTTATAATAGATATTACTTTCATATACTTATTTTTTATTTTTTTATTTTGATTTTCAAATCCTCTCTGTCTCTCTATTTGTCTGTTCAGCTTACTGTCGATTAGTAACTACACTCCTGTTTATACCTTTGAAAACTC